TAAACTCTGATCTCATTCAACAAGAGCTCTATGTACTCACTGATCCCAGTCTGACCCTGCTGCCACTGCGATGTGCCACAGTGTCAGCATGCTGTGACGAGGCTGTGGCATGTGGTTACAGGTACACCTACACCCAAAACATTTCACTGGAGAAGTCAGTGAATAAGAGCTTTTCAGTTGCAAAGTTGCTCCTTAAAGCTAACGTACAATCCTGACAGCTGACATGCTCATTGGTTTTTAAATAACTATTTAGTGGCGGCACATTGCTAGTGCTGCAGACACTGCTAAGTTTAAAGTGTATTACTGAGGAGGTTTCCATCTGCTAATCTAAGACAAGAAGGTGCGCTTATTAGTGTCAGAGTATTTTTAAATGTAAAAGAATGAACGAGTTGGTGGTGAAACAGCAGCGCTCACAGAAACCACGCTGCAGGTTCATGGGCTGCTGGTTTGATTGCACCCTCTGTCCCACAGTGTCCTTGAAAAAGATTAAACTCCAGGCAGCTCCGGAGCTGCTGTTCCTGCTAAGCCTGGCCTGTGACCTCCCTGTGGAGAACAGCACGAGGACCGGAAAGGCCACTCCATGACACACAGTCCTGTGTGAAACTCCCAGGCACTTTAGATGTTTAGCTTCTTCATGCAGAAGTCTGGCTGGTGACCAGGTATGTGGAGCCTGGAGTTGGAGTTTTCAGTGACATGAAGGTGACTCTGTTCTCTAGGTCACCATGGTAACCGGCTCCAGAGGAGGGTCTGTTCAAAGTGTGGGATGTAAAGTAGCTGTTAGATGAGCTGATCAGATACAGATGCTGTTACAGCAGTCAATAGAACACAGATTAGAATATTGATTGTTCTATTGGTATTTATCAGTATTTAATCAATAATGTTATTTTCACTTTGATTTAACAAAAAACTGAAGTGACAGGGACAGTGTCAGACCTAAATACACCCTGTTTACATCGTGTTTAGTGGTCTGAAGTTTAAATTTTTAGAACTTCACTGTGCAGCTGTCATGTCAGGAGCACTGAGTGGGAAAATCAAAATGTTAATTTACACCAGTAACATTTTTCTTCGGGCTGCAAGGTGGCTCGGTGGTTAGTTGCTCGCAGCTAGAAGGTCGCCGGTTCGCATCCCAGTGAGGGCACCGGGATCTTTCTGCGTGGAGTCTCCATGTTCTCCCCGTGCAGCGTGGGTTCTCTCCGGGTTCTCCAGCTTCCTCCCACAGTCCACAAACATGCTGAGGTTAATTGGTGATTGTAAATTGTCCGTAGGTGTGAATGTGAGTGTGCTTGGTTGTCTGTCTCTAAGTGTAGCCCTGTG